TGAATTCTAAATCTTTTTTAATAAATTAATCACATATTATATCCAAAATTTAAAAATGTATTCATAAACTAAGGGACAATTTTATAATTTTATGAATTTATTACGGGTTGCTTTAATATTTAAAAGCATACCCATTTAAAAGTTCAAAAAAGGCTAAATTTATATTAAAATAATACAATTAAATATTTTTAAATTTTAATACAATAGTAAAAAATAATAATAAAAATGTCGAGCAAAATTATGGTTTAAGAACTATGTCTCTCCAGAATTGTCTGATGTTCACTTTGAATGATGAATTAGTCTTCCTTGGACAAAGTACACCATAGAACTACAAGAGATTCCCTCGAAATCTCATTTTTGGGAGCTCTCGAACAAAATACACTATTTGTTTGATACTTGAGTCACCTTTGAGGTGACTCTATTTTCGAGGCTCACAGTTCGTCATGGTTAAATTAAGAGCGTGACTTTAATAACCACGTTAGGAATTACGACCCTACGCAATGATAAGACAATGTTTACTAAACTCGTAACTTTACTTTTGGATTTTCAAAAACAACCTCAAACGAATGGAAATATATTCATTACTTGGAAATTCATAACCATCCTCTTAATCAGTGGACGTGAGTGTTGGATAATGAAAGTCTGAAATCGGCTAATTTATTTAGGGAATGATCATGGGTTTATAATCAAAGAATACTCTCTCCATTTCTAAAAGTAGCTGCCCCTTGGCGAAAGAACGACAGGCCAACTAATCAAAAAATACTCTCTCCATTTATAAGGGTAGCTGTCTCTGGCAGAAAGAACAACCGCCCAACTAATTAAAGAATACTCTCTCCATTTCTAAGGGCAGTTGGAACAACAGCCCAACTACGTACGTGGAATGGACAGACCAGATGAATACTCCATGGAGGCCCTACCCAATGGGCTGAGCCAACCTCCAATCATTGTGGAAGGTCGTATTCATCTAATAACAAGACAGCACTGCTCGTGTCACAACAACAAAAAAAAAAATTATAATTACAAAAAAAGAAAAAAGTAAAAGGAAATTAAAAAAAAAAAAAAAAAAAAAATAGGAAACGAATCCAAAGCGAAGAACACC